TGGGGCAGGGCAGTACATAAATGGTGACGATATAACTCGGGTGACCACACCACCGATTATCCAAACTGGGATAATTTTGAGAGCAGTAGGATGGTAGTATAGTAGTAGTAGTGTTAGGACAGAAGGTGTAAACAGGGATTGTCCCAGGCAAGCTAGAAGTACGATCACCCAGATGACAGTGGTCAACTTTGGTTGAGCCCCGACTGCCAGTCACTGTCTTATGTTGCTATCTGTGGGTCACGTCTTTGACCTACACAAGGACCCAGTGTGGGAGCAATGGTTATTAGCTACTCTTCACAGAAGAAAGACACTGTGGCAGACATGGAAGGGAACTTACCCAACACAACACAATGAGGGGAGTGGGTGGGAGAGCTGGGACCAGAATGCCGGTCCTGGGAATCCAGGGCTCTTGTTTGGGGCCATTACACCCTGTTGCCTCCCAGGGGAAGATCTCAGGTCTTGGCATGGGACAAGATGAGATTCTGTTCCCAGCTCAGCTTGCAGTAATTTTAGTGACTTCTCTGGCTTTGGTTTCTTCATTCATAGAATGATGACAATGCCTATTTCCAGTAACCCTGGAGGAGTAAGGGGAATAAGGTCTGAAAAGATCAGGCACAGTGTGTGTGTTTATAAGGTACTTGTCTTAGGAGTAAGATAGCTGCCAGTTTACTGTAGGCTCCATGAGACATCTTCTCAAATAGCTACAATACAAAGTAAAAAGTGGCAAGTACCATAACAGAGTATGGAGTAAGGTCAACCAATGCCAAAGAGCCTACTGGTTAAAAGCATGAAATTTTTCATAACACCTGGGTTCAATCTCAGGCTGTCAGATTTGACTATGTCAGATTTTCTTTTTATTATTTTTCTAAGATTTTATTATCTTTTAAGTAATCTCTACACCCAGTGTGGGGCTCGAACTCACAACCCCGAGATCAATGTTGTATGCTCTTCCGACTGAGCCAGCCAGGTGCCCCGACTATGTCAGATTTGAATAGAGTTTCTCCAGAGAAGATATGCAAAAGGACAATGAGCACAAGAAAAGATGCTCACCGTCACTAGTCCTGAGGAGCATGCAAAACAAAACTCTGATACCACTAAACACCCGTAAGGATGGCAAAAGCAAAAAAGACAAACAGAAGTATTGGCAAGAATATCTGGTAGAGAAACAGAAACCCTCATACTTTGCAGGTGGGATTATAAACTGGTACAGCCACTTTGGAAAAACACTTTGATAGTTTCTCAAAAATTTAAAGATAGAGTTACCATATAACCCAGTATTATACCCAGGAGAGAAGTGGTACTCAGGGAGAAGTGGTATGATACTAAGAATTGAAAAATATGCCCCCTAGGAACTGATTAACACAAATGGCATAGTAGCCCCCAAATAGAAACAACCTGAATGTCCATCAACTGATGTGGTGCTTCGATACAATGGAATATTATTCAGCCAGAAACAAAGGAATATGAAATACTGGCCCATGCTATAACATGCAGTAACCTTGAAAATGCGATGAGAAGTGGAAGAAGCCGGTTACAAAGGACCACACATTGTGTGATACCATGTATATGAAATGCAGTTTGCCTCCAGAATAGGCAAATCCATAGAGACAGCAAATGGACTAGTGGTTGCCTGGGTTGGTTTGGGGGAGATGGGGAGTAACTGCTAATGGGTACAGGGCTTCTTTGGGGGGTGATGAAAATGTTATGCAATTAGCTAGCAATGATGGTGGTACGACTCTGTGAATGTACTAAAACCACTGAATTACATTCCTTACAAGAGGGAATTGAATGGTATGGGAATTATATCTCAATAAAGCTGTTATTTAAAAAATTCTGGCTCTGCTGTTGGTTATCTTCCATAAAATAGGGCAGGTGACAGAGTCTAACTTAAAGAGCAGGTGTGAGGATCACATGAGAGATTGCATGTAGAATCTTGGCACAGCGACTGGTAGAGTGAATGTTCGATAATTGATAGTGACAGTGTTGATGATTTTCCTGAAACATGTGTCCCTTCTTTTGTCCATCCTGAAGCATAGGGTCAGTGGTGCTTTCAGCAAAACAGGCTGGGGATTCATGATGACTTGGGACGCATGAAGACTGACCCTTACCCTAATATCCTTACATCGTCTGGGTCTCTGATCGAATAGCCTTATGGCTCTGATATCTGTTATTTATTTCTTAACTAATATAACTGAGACCTTGCTCAAGATGTGCTCATGAAAAATTACCCTTTTAATGGTGGAGCCTTTAATGAGAAACTGGATTATCTACTGCATAAGTGCCCTTTCATACAAAGTAGCTTGGCCCTGGGTCCTAATCTAAATTGGGCTCCTTCCTTTCCTCTAAATGGCCTAATATTTTCTTATTAATCTCTGCCCTCGTTCACCTGATCTGGCTCTGCCTCCTTATGAAGCGTCCTCCTTGGTAGAGCTCTACGCCTTGACAAATGTTTCTTAAGGCTGTCTTTGTATCTGACTCGTGGATGTTTTCTGGGACATGATGCGGAGGCTGGAAGTTGTTTGTTCCATTTTCAAGCTGTCTCTCCAGTGGAGTTTTAATGCTACCAATGTATTAGGTATCAACAGATTTGGGCCAGGTGAGTTTTGATACAGTATAAAGATGGGGAAGTCAGGTAGAATGAGAAGCAATTAATCCTGGTGGTTAAGAGCACAAACTTGAAAACACAGAACACGTGCAAAACCAGAAACCTGGGCTTTGGCATCAGAGAGATCTGGGTTCAGGTCGCACTTAGTAATTTTGGACAAGTTACTTGGCCTTCAGATGTTCAATTTAGATCCTCATTTATAAAAACCTGAATGACAGTACCTATGTCTAGGGTTATTTCTGGGGCTAAACAAGTTGGTGTATACAATGCGCTTTGAACAGAACCTGATAAATGCTACCTATACGTAAAGCTTGGAGAAGTCCCACACAGTGAAAGGGATTTGATTGGTGACTGAAATAGTGTCATGTGTTGAAGAGGCAGAGATGGTATTTGGGACAGAGTAACATAACCTTCCCAAGAACCAGAGCAAACCATAGGCCACTCCTGCCCAACACTGCATGATAATGCAGAGAGGTGACATGTCGGTCCACAGCTGTGTTGTTGAGCTAGATGTCTGTACAGGGTGTATCATGGCAAGTGTCTTCTTTGTTCTTAGCTTTAGTCTCTGACATCTGCCCTCACAGAATCCTGAGGCTGAATTTTTACATTGATTATAGGTTCTGACTAATCATCCCTGTGTTATTTTTGCTTTGTGGAATATAATTCAAAGGCTTGCATATACCAGGAGTCAGCAAGGGTACAGTGGGGAAAAAGCACTAGCTGGAAATCAGGGGTCTGGCTTTGCAGACATTTCTCCTTTGTGCCCTCCTTGCCTCAGCATCGTATCTTCTACGTGCTTCTTTCACTGGGCTGGTAATAGTGTCGACAGCTACCATTTTCTGAGAACTTAGCATGTGAATCCGTGCTTCGCACGTACTCTCCTCTAGAAGTTACTATTCACGATAAATCTGAATGTAGATATTTTATCCACATTTGACAGATGAGCAAACCGAGGCTCCACAGACAGTTTAGTTGGTTTTCAAGTGAGAAAGGCATGATTTGAAATGAGGATGTCCAACTAAAGCTGCTACCTTCTTACACGACTAACATAGTGCCTTGCACATTTTTATTTTCAGTCACCAGAATCTTGAGCTTGTAGGGGCACAGACTTTGTCTTACACGTCTGTTGCAGTGAGTTACAGCATCTGGCACAAAGGAGACCCTCAGAGAGGGACGATGGAATAAATAAATGAACCGCAAGTTTTTTTCAGTAGAAAAGCATTATACTGCGGTTAACTATTGCCGTTGTTTTTCCTGTTTTCAGCTCAAATAATTCTCAATTCACATTATGGAAAGGCCTTAATTTGCACGTCATATAGATAAAAGGAAGTAGGCTGGGTTCTCTCTCATGCGCTCAGCCCAAAGTTTCTGCCCCATGACGGCAGGCTTGATGGACGAGGTATTGGAAGTTCAAGTTCATGATGTTCCTGGACATGAGTATCAGAAGACTAGGGTGCTCTAGGTCTTAAGAACCACATGTGCAAACTTTATGAAAGTTTGATGATACTAGAAATTTTAATTCCTGTGCATTCATCTTTTTTTCTGACTGGGTGAACTTGGGACAAACTCCTTGAATTCTGTGACCTTCATCCTCATTATCTAGAAAATTGATATGGTTGAGTTTTTACAAAGAGTGGGGATCAAGTCTATAAAACATCTCCCATGAAACACTCAGTTCACAGAAACTTTACTGTCCTTATTTTATGTGGATGTATTTGAACATCTGGTTGACATGTCCTAGCAAAATATTATGTTAATAATTACTGAGAAAGGCTGTTGCAGGATATGGGCCCACCATACCAAGTCGCCTTATACACACACATGAGCTAGCAGAAGAGATATTGTAAAACCATTTTTTTGATAATTGTCTCTGGGTCATTACTTGATACAAAGCAATTACTCTGGAGTCCCACCATAAAACAGCCCATGGAATTGGGTGTAAGAAGATCTTGGACCCTGGCCAAACTCATATTAAATGCTGGAAATGCCAGAGAGGCTCAGTGCTAATACTATTCTAACAAGAATGTCAGACATGAACTCTTAGTAGGTGATTATTATTTGTGGAATACCTGGTGTGTATCAAACTCTGTATTGGGCTCCTTAAACATGTTGTCTGATTCAATTATCTTAATGCCCCACTGGGTTGGTTATTTTTAACTCTTTTCTTTTTCTCTTGCCTGAGAAAACAGAGGCTCAGAGAAAAATAACTTGCCTCTGGATTTAAAAGGATAGAGTCAGAATTTGCATCCAGGAGAACTAGCATTCTTTTCTACTCGGTCCAGTGATTTCTTAGAACATAAATGAAACCAGAGAACAAATCTCGATACTATGGGTATTTAAAGACAGTGGGACCTGAATGCTTACATGCCTGAATCCTGCTTTTCTCTGTTTTTAGGTCAGGATCGCAGTGAAGCCACTTTGATAAAGAGGTTTAAAGGTGAAGGGGTCCGGTACAAGGCCAAGCTGATCGGGATTGATGAGGTTTCTGCGGCTCGGGGAGACAAGTTATGTCAAGATTCCATGATGAAACTCAAGGTGCTTTGCAAACATTTTACTTTCAATATCACAGATTTTATAGGACTGAGGGAAGGGAGTGATTATGATCATTATGATAAAACTCTTTACTTACTCATTTAGTAGTAAATTACTTGGTTCACTGATGAATCACTGCATGTATTCATTGGGAAGAGATTTCAATTGTTATGAAAATGTTTATTGAGCACCTACTATGTGGAGATATTTTGCTGGGGGCCCAGTTTTATAACTTCTGAGCATATCATCTTTTATTCAATGTTATCTTCATTGCACAATGCCTGCAAAAAGAAAAGTAAAATTGTCAAATTTTATAGTCCCTCAGATTTTATGAATCTTTGCCCCTTTGTTATTTTTTAATACATTTTAAATATTTTACCATATGATAAATATGGTAAAAGATGCTATGTTAAGATAAAAGCTAATTTTATTCATTCTTATCATTCCTATTAATGTTTCCAAACACTTTGTAAAAAACAAATATTTTTTAAGTAATATGTAATGAGATTGTGGGATTTGGAGATATCACAGAGAAGTTTTTGATAGTAAATGCTTTAAAGAAGACCTTTTTATTGAAAAATCTAAGGAAGAGATTGGAAAAAATTAATATACACAATAAAATTATGTTATTAAATGGCCTTTAAAACATGAAAAACAGCATTGTTTGCTCCCACATTCTGGTCTTCATATAGTCTATGTTTCCTTCTTTTAAAAAGCAATTTAAAACATTGAAAAAACAAATGAGTTAGCAGGAAGTCTATAAAATACCTGAAGCATTTAACACATATAATTTAAGTATCTTCCCAATTATAGAATTCACAAAATGTTCATTGTAAAATATTTTGAAAATACAGAAAAATATAAGGAGAAAAATTAAAGTCATCCATAATCCCACCACACAAAGAAAACCAGTGTCTACATTTTTGTGTGTAACTTAATCTGTCTTTGTATTTGTATGTATATTATATGAATTATAAACATATGTAATACAATTGGAATTACTATTATACAGTCTTATATCCTGGTTTTTTTCCTCATCTAACACAATATTATGAGAATTTTTTTTCATATCTTCCAGTAGTCCCTCAGGACACAAGTTGGTCAGTGCAATTTTTTTAAGTGTAAGAAAGGAGGAAGAAAAGAAAAAAAATACATGTATATATATGCAAGGCTGGCCAAGTTCCTCCAAGTACGAACTGGGACAGTATCTATAAAACACCCTCTAGTTGCCTTTCCTTTCCTATTTGCTTAATAAATCAGAGCTATTATTTTTATTTATACTATACAAATTTTCTCAGCAGTTTAACACGGATATCAGATGCTAAGTCTCCTTGTAGTATGGCTGTAGGAATCATCATTTTAAAAAAATCTTAATTTTCTTTCTTTTAATTTTTTTAAAAGATTTTATTTATTTATTTGAGAGAGAGAGAGCAAGCATGAGCTGGAGGGGAGAGGGACAGAGAATCTGAAGCAGATTCTGTGCTTATCCCAGAGCCCAGCCACAGGGCTTGATCCTGTGACCGTGAGATCATGACCTGAGCCGAAACCAAGAGTCGGCTGCTTCACCAGCTGAGCCACCCAGGCACCCAAAAATCTTAATTTTCTAAACTGTGTACCCGTTATTTTTTTAGCTGTTACATAAGCAAACTTTATTTTAATAGTTATGTATCTATTATAAAGTATACTAGAAAAAGGTGAAATCATGATTTGACAAATTATCACCTTGGGAAAGGTTAATGTTTTCTTTCTTTTCTTTTTTCTTTCTTTCTTTCTTTCTTTCTTTCTTTCTTTCTTTCTTTCTTTCTTTCTTTCTTTCTTTCTTTCCTTTCCCTTTCCCTTTCCCTTTCCCTTTCCCTTTCCCTTTCCCTTTCCCTTTCCCTTTCCCTTTCCCTTTCCCTTTCCCTTTCCCTTTCCCTTTCCCTTTCCCTTTCCCTTTCCTTTCCTTTCCTTTCCTTCTTTCTTTCTTTCCTTTCCTTTCCTTTTTCTTTCTTTCTTTCTTTCTTTCTTTCTTTCTTTCTTTCTTTCTTTCTTTCTTTCTTTCTTTCTTTCTTTCTTTCTTTCTTTCTTTCTTTCTTTCTTTCTTTCTCTTTCTTTCTTTCTTTCTTTCTTTCTTTCTTTTCTTTCTTTCTTTCTTTCTTCTTTCTTTCTTTCTTTCTTTTTCTTTCTTTCTTTCTTTCTTTCTTTCTTTCTTTCTTTCTTTCTTTCTTTCTTTCTTTCTTCCTTTCTTCCTTTCTTCCTTTCTTCCTTTCTTCCTTTCTTCCTTTCTTCCTTTCTTCCTTTCTTCCTTTCTTCCTTTCTTCCTTCCTTCCTTCCTTCCTTCCTTCCTTCCTTCCTTCCTTTCTTTCTTTCTTTCTTTCTTCCTTTCTTTCTTTCTTTCTTTCTTTCTTTCTTTCTTTCTCTCTCTCTCTCTCTCTCTCCCCCTCCCTCCCTCCCTTCCTTCCTTCCTTTCTTTCTTTCTATAATTAAGCAATGTTATGAGATTTTAGGGCAATCCAGTAATGAGCTCTCTTCTTCTGCTAAGCCCAAATCTGATAGGTAAGTAGATAACAAAGTCTGACAGGAGGAATTCTAAATTCCAGCCTTATGACTGATAAATGCTGGAATGAGGGAGGTGACGTGGATACATGGCCACAGTGAGCATCCTTGAAAGAGACAGGCTGTTCCACTTAGTTTGTGGAGTAGATGGGTAACTGCATCCCTTCCTATCCCCACCAGCCCCCGTCTGGCCCCAGAGTAGGACCTGTGATTCATTACTGAGATCAGACCAGAGTGCAGCCTCTCCACGAGTGGGCAGATGACGGAGAGAACCCAAAAGAGACTGAGCCTGGAGTCCTCAGCCTCCCTCCAGACTCCCATCAGATAGAGCCATGTCTTCTTCCCCAAGGAGACCCCTAGTCAGCGATAGGGATGAAGACCAAGATCTTCATTTTGCTGAAGTCCCTCCTTACTGAGTATGAGGCCAGGCAAATGAAGATTTGCTCCTGACAAATATTAATTAAAGGACATCAAGAAAAATCTTCCAACAGCCTGGTTCTCACCCAGAGCCACAAGTAAGTCTGCTAAGGAGCTGATGCTTCTTCTCCCAGCATCCTGGTAGATAGCCATTCACCAGGCACGTGTCCCAGAGCACCTTGTCGGCCAGCTGCCTTCATGGAAGCGCTGAGGTCTAAGTGGCTTAGAGCAGGAGTCTGCCTCTGCACCCCAAAGGTTCTCTGTCCGCATTCACGTTGACTCAGGCTAGCTGGACCAGGCCTGGTGATGACTGCTGACCTTGTGCGTGTGCCCCATCTGTCATCCCTCAGAACGTGAGGTCCCCAAAGCCCCGAGAATTTGTCCTGCTGTAACACACTCCTGTCAGATGCACTGAGCTCATTGAGGGGTTCTTGGTTCCCAGACAATTGTGTTTCATTATTTGCAAGTTGCTGAGAAGAATGTTGACATTTCAGCTCCCAGTGGTTTTTCTTTAGGAAACAGAAACATAAATGATCGATTCTCCATTTGGCCACCTGCCCAGGAAAGAAAGAGGCAGAGAAGTAACAAAATGCCTGTTAGCCTTGCAAAAGGGCCCACTTGTTCACATTAGGCCATATGAGAAATAAAAAGGAAATCTCCTTTCCTTTGCGAGGCTCTTTGAGGCTGGTACCTTTTCCTGTTTGAGAGAGTTTTCATTTGGGTTATAGAGATTTGAGAGGAGATTTCATATTCCGAGTATGAGCAGGCTGTCACCTGTCCTCCAGCAAAACACCATTATCATCATGTTTTAATTTAGAGTCAACATAAGCATTTTCCCATATATCACCTCTTTTGATCTTGTGAGATAGATATTAGCCTCTCTGTTTTATAAATAAGAAATCTGAGGTTCATAGAAGTTAAAGGATTTGCCCCAGAACCTTCATTTAACCTGTTGTAAGCCCAGAATTTTAAACCTCGATCTCTGGATGCCCAGTGTTTGATAAGACTCAGTTTAGTGCTCACTTATATTCTTTTTTGAATCTGCATTTAATTTATCTTGGTTCCCCAATGAGATTTTAAGCCCTTACTGGTAAGTTACTACCCAGTACCCGCACATCATTGACTTACAAAGTAGTCAACTTTTAGAGACATTGGGCAAAATGTGGTGGTTGAAACTCTGAGAGGGGATGAGATCTCCCAGAGACAATGCCTGGAGGGCTAATTACAGAGCTCTAAATATGTCAGCTGGGGTCCTCTAAGAAGCAGAGCCCACCCTGGCTAGGTCAGATGAGGACACTTTAATGAAAGAGCCACTTAGAAAGGGTAGGTAAGGTTAAGTAAGGGAGCAAGGGATTATGAAGCTCCCAGGAACCTACAACAGTAGAAAGCAGCAACCACCCTGGGAGGAAATATATTTACTGAAGCCCATGGAGAGCAGGATTGAGGAGGAGGTTCCCTCCCTCACCAAGCAAAAATATAGGCCCTGCCAGAGATGTAGCACAAAGAAGGAAAGAATGCGGATGGAATACCCTGACTTCTCTCTCCATCCACCCTCTGATCTCCTGCCTGTCTTGCCCAGAGAACCAGGGAATGCACTCCACAGGAACCAGGCTCTAGGCACAAAGCAGAATAGAGGAGAATATTTAAATTCTTTTTTTTTTTTAACTGGGAAAAGTGAAATTTGGGGTGAGTTTTTTCCAAAGCTTATATAGCTAATAAGTGAGATGGCTGAGATTGGAGACCAGCTTATTTTTTTTAAATCATGGAACATTCTGGAATAGCATTGTAGGTTTTCAGCCATTCATGTCTGAGGCCTTTTGTGTTTTCCTACCTGCTTTACAGGATCCACCGAGATCACAGCCATTCCATTACGTGCATGCACCATGCTGGGTGGGGTTTCTCAGAGCCCTTTCCTGTGCTTCCCCTTATCTCATCCTCAAGGGACCCCTGAGCTGGACAGGGCAGCCAGTTAATCCTGTCTGACCCTTTGTGTATCACTTCCTTCATGGAGATACCATCTATGTGTGACTCCCTGAGGGATGCCTGTGTCCGTCATTTCCCACGTGCCTGGCACATGGTATTGCTTCATGGTATGAATGTTAGTACGAGTAATAATGATAACTGTCATTCACCAAGCTCTCCCGACATGCAACACACTGTGCTAAGTGCCGTATGTGCGTGACTGTTTTCAATATCTGGTAAGAAATGTGATTATTTTCATTAAAGTTCCCCTTCACTGTGGAGTCTGGGAGCTCATGGTTGCACCTGGCTGTTTGCAGAACAATTTGGACATATCTGTAGGGATATCGTATAGTCTTTTTTTGTTTTCCCAAAAAAAAAAAAGGTCTTAAGGAAGGTTGTAATAGAAGGAAGCCCAACGTGGAAATCTGAAAGATCGCGGTTTCAATTTTCTCTCTGTCTTATTAGTTCCTTGAGTTTCAGGAGGTCACTTCAGCCCCCGGCCTTATGTTTCCTTACATGTAAATTAAGGGAGATGATTTTCACTTTCTAGGACTATGGTCTGGGCTAAATTATATGATAGGGAAGAGAACCTGTAGCACGTAAGAGTAGGTCCCCAAGAAAATGCTTGACTGTACTTTCCAGATTTTCAACAGTGACTTGGTGAGGTGGCTAATGTGAGGCACTGAGCCCCAAAGGGCACCTACCTCCACATCTTCTGACCCCCCCAGTCCGAGCTGTCTCCTGGACCTCTGCTGGCTCTCCGTCCCAGCAGTGAATAATCTTGTGGGGATATGAGACCGTGAGGCATGCTGTCTGCTGGCAAACTTGCTTGGCCTTAGCGCAATTTTTCAGAGCTTGACTCAGGGTCCTGTCTCACAGGAGAAACATGCTTGATCAAATTGGAGTTTTATTTCCCCAAAGATAGCCCTGCACGGAGAGTCCCTCCCTCTTTCATTTGTCATGGAAAGCCACCACCAGCAGCCCCAAGCAGAAACACGCCTGGAACACGTGTGTGTGCTTTCCATCTTCTTTTGTGTATGACTGCATTCTGCTATTAGAGGGGGCAGTAATTCAGAGAGCCAAGGACTGGGAGGACTGTTTTGGGGATGGAGACGTTGAAGTCTCTCCTTGATCGAAGGTGCAGCCCTCTCCCCACCAAGACTGTGATGTTCTCTCCTAAGAGGAGTTAAGAAGGAAGGGCTCTCGCCCCTTTGATATGTCTTTCCGTTTACGATGGAGCTACTTCTCATTCTCTTTTTGTGTTATGTCTGGAGATCTGAAGTTGGAGGTTCAACTGCAGAGGTACCAGGCATCAGGTATTTTATTCCAAATCCAGCCAAGAACCCAGCATTCAAAGTGAAGTTTCCCAGGGTTCAAAGTCTGGCGGGCCCACTCCCAGAAGGAGGGAAAGTCACTTCCCCTTTCAAGTGCCTGCTTGACACTGGGCTCCATTCTTGATGCCGGGCACACAGAATGGATAAAACAGAGATCCGGGCACAAATGAGCTTTGGTTCTATTGGGCATAAGGCAGACAGTTGCCAAATGAACAAATAAATAGGTCAGATGGCAGTAAGGACCAGTGAGGAAAAGGGAAGAAAGGAGAAAGAGTGAGGTGCAAAGGGGGCAGGGTTTGGAGACAGTGTCCCCAATAGGATGGCATTAGAAATAAGAATTACCCCCGGGGGGCTGCAAAAACATACTTTGGCCATTCTCCCCATGTTTCTTAGAATCACCCCTCAGTGAATTCACGGGAAAGCAAGCTGCACAGTGGGGACTCTAGAAACCTGCCAATAAGCAGGGCAGTTACAGGGACAGAGGACTTAGCTTTGGGGGGTGAGTCCTTCTCTTTAACTATATAGAGGACAGGCATGCAGGAGGGATCTCTGGTCACTGAGTGACAGCCCTGAGGGGCTGAAAGAGCAACGCTGGGGAGGGTTACCCAGAGAGATTTTGGCTTGCTAGAAAGAAGCCACCATGTAAAGGATTAAGCGCTCCCTGCACCAGGAGTCTGGAGAGCTGAGTTGTAGGCTCAGCTTGCCACCAGTACGCTGGACCACCTCAGCACTGCCCACCCCCACCTCCCAGACCTCATTTTCCTCATCTGTCAGCTGGAAACTTGCAAGATTTTCTCTAGCTCTGACATTCTGTATGTCTACAAGGGTGTAAGTGGCGCTCAAGAATGAATGGGTGACTCAGGAGGGAGTGAATTTCCTGCTAGTAGGTCCCCAAATAGGGACCAGAGCACAGACCTTTAGGGACAGTCATTCATTTACTAGAAGAAGTTAATTTTCATGATATCCCTGTAGCGTTCCAGGCACCGTACTAGGTACTTGACCTAAATTTTCATTTAATTCTCTCCCCCATGCAAGGATAGTGTTTACACTTGAGGAAGTGACAGTGAGAATTAAGTCATTTGCCCGAGATCACAGAGGGCCAGGAGCATAAGCCAGCCGCCCGGATTGCACAGAACATTTCCGGTACCCAAAGTGACGATAACCAAACTGCCTCTAGGGGATGCCTCATCCCTGTGCCTTCTGGACATCCCTGTTCCTAACACCGCTGGTTCTCTGGCACTGAGGTTGTGAACATGCTCTTCTGACAGATGAACAGATGACTTTTATCTCCCAGAAACATGATGTCATGATTATTTTTGACTTTTCTACTCTTAGAAGCCCAGAACTATAACTGCTGATAGTTGGGCTTGATTTTGTACACAGGACAGGCTGATAGCAATGAAGGGGCTGGAAGCTCTAAAACACGTAATGCAGAGATAGGAACACTCCCCAACCCTGAGTATAAATCCCTTGGAATGTCCTCACCCTCTCAGTGGTACCCTCATATGAAGCCCATGCTTACCTGTCACTGGCCACCCCAGAAGCTAGTTTAAAAAGCAAGTGTCTTTGTTCTTAACTTGCATCATATCAACTTTGGGAGAGCTCTGGATAAAACATACATCTCACAAGAATGACAGAGTGCCTTTTTCTTCTAGGGACTGTCCTGGGCACTGAGGATAGAGCAGTGAGCAGGATGACACCCATGCCTTTTGTGATGTTTTACCTTCTAACTGGCTCATATACGTAGCTTTGGTTTATAAAAAGTTTGGAAAAGTGGGGAAACAGAGGCACTGATAAATAAATGGAATGCATTTGGTAGGTACCTTCCTACCGAAAAGGGTAAGGGAAAATAGAAAACTTGTGTAGTTAAAAACTGCAAACCGTGGGGTGCCTGGGTGGCTCAGTCTGTTGAGCATCTGCCTTCGGCTCGGGTCATGATCCCAGGGTCCTGGGATCGAGCCCCGCATCGGGCTTCCTGCTCAGCGGGGAGTCTGCTTCTCCCTCTGACCCTCTCCCCTCTCATGCTCTGTCTCTCTCTCTCTCTCTCTCTCTCAAATAAATAAATAAAATCTTTTTTAAAAACTGCAAACTATAAGCATGGAACTCTGATGATCATATTTTTCCAGACCAAAGGGAGACATGCAGTCTGGCAATGGTTTTTATTTTCTTTCTACTCTCTAAAATCGATTCCCATGAAAACTTTTTCCAGAAGTAAAGATAAAATCACATTTAGGAATATATTCTGCAACTCGTCTTTATTTAATAGATTGAAACCATATACAGTATGAAGCCCAGCAACATATTAATAAAAGGATCATATCATGTTTATCTTGGGGTCTTGATTTCTGAGCCAGATAGCTAGGCACAAAGGAGGCATTCTATAAATCTTGGGTAGTCATGTGAATCAGTGTTCAGGTATTTATACAGTGTTAGATAAAATGATAGGGTAACCATTACCCTAGAATATCAAGAAGAGACAAACATGTCAGGCAGGGAAGCATGGAAGGGGCAAAGGGAGAGCAGTGTGGATGATTGGTGGCATTGGTGGATGGTATCTGACATGCCTTTGGGACTGGAGGGAATCTTCAAATGAAAACACTCATTAGTGGATGTGCGGATACACAAGATGGGGTGCCCGCCTCCAATGGAATATTATTCTGCAGCAAAAAGGAAGGAAGTTCTGACGTGTGCTACTACACAAAGGAAACTTGAAGACATTAACAGAGTGAAATAAGCCAGCTATAAAAAGGCAAATTCTGTACGATTCCACTTCTATGACCTATCTAGAGAAATGAAATTCAGAGAGACAGAAAGCGGAACGGTGGTGATGAGGGCCTGCAGGGGGCAGGGGGCTGTGTGAGGAAGAGTGAGTGTTTAGTAAGTACGGAGTTACTGTTTGGGAAGAAGAAAGTGGCTCTCGTGTTGGATGGCTTGGGGTGCTTTAAATGAAAACACAGGAGTGAAAACCATGCCCTTCCTTCCAACAGGGCGTTGTTGCTGGTGCGCGTTCCAAAGGAGAACACAAACAGAAAATCTTTTTAACCATCTCCTTTGGAGGTATCAAAATCTTTGACGAGAAGACAGGGGTAAGTAAAAGCATCACATGGCATTGTGAAATTGAATCCATTGACAGATGTGCCCTTAAAAGCCTCTACTCTCTGGGCAGGAATATCAAACAAGCATAAAAACACATGAAGCAACTGACAAACTTGATCAACTGTGATCGTCCATCAAAGGCAGGCTCTTCCCTGACTTGGCCACAGTGTTTCTAACAGTGTGATTGTGATAAAAGTGTCACACAGGCCCAGGAATCTAACGGGAGATTGATGAGCTTTGAAGCGCGGTGGGTAATGTGACAGTTTAAGTTAAATTTCTTTGTGTGTTGGCAACTTTAATGACATGCATTCTAGAGGGAGACACATGAATGTCTTTTGACTTGGTCAAAGCCTCCAGACTCTCCGGAGTTTACCCTGTGCCACCTTGCAATTGCTGTAATCAAAAAGAATGGAGATTTCAACCTTAGAAAAATGTGTCACTGCATGACCAGGAAATGTCAGGGCTGATGTGTTTGTTGGACCCGCCAAGGAAGTGGATTGTGTTTTCATCAGCCCCCTAGCAGCAGTTAGCTCCAGCATTGATCCCTGGGGCCGTCCTGACATTGGTGGTCCTGTTAATTGATGATAAGGGAAAAAGAGAAAAATGTTCTAGGCTCTATTTAGTCCAGAGAGCAAGAGTCAGATGGGTGTGGTTTTTTTCCTTTTATTCATTCAGTGTTTTACAGCTTATAAAACACCTTTACACATACCACCTCCTTTGAACTTCCCAACTTAATTTTCAAGCGTTGTAGACGCCAGACTCAACCAGCCAAGTTACTCAACCTTAGTCACTTTCATTGTATTTTCTCCCCTTTGTTCTGACTCCTATTAGGACCCCATACGGGTAGGAGGATGATAATTTAACAGTAAAAATGGGTTTTGAAGAAAAGGTATTTCTGAATAATTAGTAATAGGACAGGTATTTGTCTACCCAGATTCACAGCAGCTTTATTCACAGGAGCCAAAAGGTGGAAGCCACCCAAGCGTCCATTAGCGGATGTGCGGATACACAAGATGGGGTGCCCGCCTCCAATGGAATATTATTCTGCAGCAAAAAGGAAGGAAGTTCTGATGTGTGCTACTACACAAAGGAAACTTGAAGACATTAACAGAGTGAAATAAGCCAGCTATAAAAAGGCAAATTCTGTACGATTCCAATTCTATGACCTATCTAGAGAAATGAAATTCAGAGAGACAGAAAGTGGAACGGTGGTGATGAGGGCCTGCAGGGGGCAGGGGGCTGTGTGAGGAAGAGTGAGTGTTTAGTAAGTGCAGAGTTACTGTTTGGGAAGAGGAAGATGGCGCTCGTGATGGATGGCTGGGGGCGCTGCACAACGCTGTCCATACACTTCACACCCCTGAACTGTATGCCAAGAAATACTTAGAATGATAAATTTTCAGTTACGTGAAGTTTACCGCCATAAAAAAGAACTAGTGATAATAATTTCTGTTCATGGGGTACTACTGTATACTACGTGCATATTAATCACGTGACATACATGATTCAGTTTTGCCCTCACAGCAGTCTTACGGGAAAATAACAACTTCATCAAGCACGTAATATGTGCCAGGCATTGTTGTGAACCCTTTGCAAGTACCAACTCTGTTAATCCTCACGACAGCCCTGTGAGGTAGATGGCAGTATCCTCTCCATTTTATAGCTGGAGATATTGAGGAGAGAAACGTAGGTGTAATTTATTGAAAGTAAGCGGTGGTTGGAGACAGGATTAGAATCCAGGTTGGTCTGGCTTGTGAGTCTTCTCACTTAAGCTTGCTGCCTGTTACTTCTCAGAATAAGTGACTTTGCAAAGGTCACCCAGCAAGTAGGAGGCAAAACTGGGATTTGGCCTCCCGTTGGCCCGAATATCAGGGCAGTTGAGCTCTCTGTCATCGAGAAAGGTCGGCCTACCTGGGGATGCCTTGGGAAAAGGGAGTTGAGAATGAGGGCACAAGCTCAGGGAGTAAAGGAGCTTGAATGCAACAAGATTAAGAGCCTAATGAAAGTCTCTCCTGCCTTAATAAAAATACAGTTTCTGAAGCCAGGGAAGTTTTTCCTTCTCCTGGGTAAGACTACTGTTTGGAGACTTGTGCTCAGTCTTGAAACTCACACTTGAAAAAGGACACAGGGAAATCAAAGAGTATCCTGATGAGGGGGGCTATGACAATTGGGGGACTAGAAATTATCTTGAACCAAGACTTCTCAACACAGGTGTAGCCTCCTAGGCTCCTAGGTACACACAAGAGGCGGAGAGCTGTGGGCTTGTAGAAACTGTTAGGATGTCATTGATCCCCTTACCGTCGTTATTGGAGGGAACCAAGTAATGTGGACCAAGCCTAACCAGGAGATTTATATGCCCGAATACTACATCATCATCTCTGTTGTCTGCCTGCCACCGTGACAGCTGATATAACCAAAGGGACAGGAGTGAGGTAGAGTGTCAGATACCTTATCTTGTCCTGGGGCCATGTTTTGGGGCATTGCTGTTCCATTAGGTAACCCACCATCAGATAAGTTGTACCCAGATCATGAAAATCCCAATCACTAAATTTTAACTCATAAGGAGAGATAGTTTGTACTCTTGACCTAAATCTAAATCCTCAGTCAAGGGTGGCTGACCTGGCCCAAAAGAAAGATACCACCAAACTCTCTAATGCTATTTTTGATTCTTCAGCTGGACAAAAAAGGAACAACAGTAAAATCATTGTTTGAGCTCAAAACCATTTGACTTTGTGGAAAAAATGTCCGCTCCCTGGTGGAGGATCAGGGAGAAGGCAGAGTGGGATGTTTTCTGTTTGGCTTATTTCACTCCAGTTATGTTTGATTCACATTAGGCCCCGGTAGCATCTGGCTTCTGCAACCTGAACTTATTAATATGTCTCAACACAAGTCTACGGAAAGCTAGTGGAAGGGATTGAATGTTTTAAAGCCCGAAGCAGAGACAACAGAGAGCAGGGGAGCCCCTACTAATAGTGGTCATCTCTCCAAAGAGTTGTGTAGTAGCAGAAGGAGCTGACTTGTTCTGTATGACCCAACAAATAGAACCAAGATCGGGTAATAGGAGATTCTTTGAGGCAGTGTTGGTTTATGAGGAGGAGGAATTTTCTACCAGTTAGATGGACCACCGTCTGTGCTAGCAAGTTCCCCATCACTTAGGAGTATTCGAGCAAAACCTTATGATGGGAAAATTGTGGAAGGGAGCCAAGTAGAGAATGAAGTATTAAAGTCACGTCGAAGTTGAATCCTGAGACTAGTTTTAAAATTCTGTTTCTTCCTTCAAGTCATCCCTGTTGATGTGATTTATCTTCAGACAAATGGAGGTTTTTCAAACTCCATTGGAGATTATGAGCAACAACAGTTTACTAAACCTTTGTTGTTGCCCAGTAGGGGACCAACTGAATTGTGCCCGATAAGAGTTTAAGTGAAGTATTTTGTCTTACATATCAATGAAATGGAAAACTAGGTTTTGCCATTTGGAATGACAAATTTTTGTTGTTTATCATATCTAAAGTATTCTCAAGCTTGACTGCATTTTTGTTCAAACCAAAAAAAGAAACATTTGCAGAACGTGACAATAGCTAGAATTTTAAAATCCAAAAGCTGTCAAAAATGTTTTGATCCCAATTAAAGAGACCCTTTGCAGCAATTTACACCTTGTCTTGAATTTCAAAGGGTTCTTGATCCCAATCTTTACATGAGTAAATTCTGTTTTATTATTAGCATGTTGCGGGGAATAAATCAATATTGAAAAGCTGTTCACATTTTCAGACAGCTAGGTATTGATAATGTGTCAAAGGGATCAGTGAGAATGCAGAAAATGTCATATATAAACTCATTGTTATTGGTAATAGTAGGAGCTGTAGCAAATCAGGAGCAGATGTGATTTCATATCAATGTTGCTAGGTCCTCAGATCAGACCTGTGGGTACTAAGGCAGGAGTGAAGTCGTCATCTTCATTTTGCGGATAAAGAAACTGAGATTTTGGGAGTGTCTTTGACTTGGCTGTAGACTCAGAACAAACCTTCCAATTTCAAATCTTCTGTCTTTCCAGGGAAACTCATTGATTTCTCTCTTGATTTGCAGTTTTATTCCATAGAATTGCTATAATTTTGTGCCATAAAAAATCATAAATATTGCAGGACCCTGACAATAAGTCTGTTTCTCAAGACAGAGGGCAGTAGTCTGCATCAACTTTTCAAGATGATGTAGTGTCTTGTTGCCATAATCACATGTAAATTTTGCTTGTTCGTTTGGTTTAGCCAACTCTGATCTGGTAGTACTATATATACCATCTGAAGCGCATTACAACAATGCTGTGAAGTCGGTGCTATTGTTACCAACATTTTACAGCCGAGAAAACTGAAATCCGAATTAAGTCCCACAGTAAATTAAGTAGCAAGAGCTGAGATTCAACCCCAGGCAGTCTGATCCAGAAGCCTTGATGCTAGTAAGATAGCACTAATAATAACATACCTGCCTTAGTCTGTTTGGGCTGCTCTAACAAAAATACCACAAAGGAGGTGGCTTATAAATAACAAACATTTCTTTCTCACAGTTCTCGAGGTGGGGAGTCGGATATCATGGCCCCAGCAAATTCATCGTCTCGGGGAGAACCCACTTCCTCTTAGCTGGTGCCTTTTTGCTGCTTTCTAGAGCCTCTATTATTAAGACACTAATCTTATCCCAAAAGGCTCCACCCTCATGATCTGATTCCTTCCCAAAGGCCCCACCTCCTAATACCATCCCCTTACGGGCTAGAATTTCAACATATGAATTTGGAAGGGGGAGGACATAAACATTCAGACCATAGCAATACCAAATTTTATAAATGATGTGCTTTTATATATATTAGAGCAGATTCAGTATTCTCTCCGTTTTATTGTCACCATTATTCATTTTCACGCTGATGACCTTTCCTGAGGGAAGGTACAAGGAGTCCAGTTACCACTAGAACTGTCTTGTGGATGGAATATTGGCCACGTAACCCGTATGT